CCTGCCCCCTGGTGGTCAGTGTGTGTCATAGTGACCAGTCATTCCCAGTCTTTCTGCTGTTAGGGTCAGTTTGTATATTACCCTTTTACTATATAGGATAGAGGCCTGGTGCACGGGTGGGTACTGGCTGGTTTGCCCTGAAGGGTGTCCCAGATCACGGTGGGGGTCCTCACTGGGGTGCCTGGACAGCCTGGGTGAGGGGCTGAGGGCTGTTTTCAGGCTGGCCACACCCACTTCAGGGTGGGATTCCCCACTGGGGTGCCTGACCATCCTGGGCGAGGGGCTGAGGGCCGTTTTCAGGCTGGCCATGGCTGTGGGCAGGAAGCAGGTATCTGGGATTTATTTATCCTCTATAATTGAAACTTTGTAGCCTTGGTCCGTCTCGAAGCCTCGGTTGCCCCTGGAAACCCAGGTTCTGAGCCCCTCCTTGAGTGGAGGCCACAGTGGCTGGAACCAGGTATCTAGGATTTATTTATCTCCTATAACTGAAATTTTGTAGCGTTGAACGGAGCCCAGTGCCGGCCAGGGCAGGCAGGAAGCTTGGCTTCCTACATTGCCAGGGGTAACCCAAACCTCCTGCTCACTCCAGTTCTGTGGCCGCCGCCATCTTTGTGAGGGAGTGACAGAGTGAGGGAGTGACCGTTAATTTGCATATTAGTCTTTTATTAGATAGGATAATGAACCAGCAGAAAGAGAAATTAAGAAAACAAACCCATTTACAATTGCATCCAAAAAAAAAAAAACACCAACCAAAATGCCTAGGAATAAATTTAACCAAGGTGGTATAAGACCTGTACCTGAAAAATTATGACATTAAAGAAAGAACCTGAAGATAAAATAAATAGAAGCAAATACCCTGTTCTTGGATAGCAAAAAATGATATTCTTAAAATGTCCATACTCCCCCAAGCAATCTATATATCCAGTGCAATCTCTAACAAAATACCAGTGACATTTTCCACAGAACTAGATCAGATCATCCTAAATTTTACATAGAACCACAGAAGAGCATGAATAGCCACAGGAAGAACGAAGTTGGGAATACCATGAGAAAGAACAAAGTTGGGAATACCATGCTACCTGATATCAAACTATACAACAAGGCTGTGGTCAAAACAGCATGGTACTGACATAAAATAAGATACATAAGCCATTGGAATAGAATTGAGAGCTCAGAGATAAACTTACACCTGTATGGTCAATTAATCTATCACAAAGGAGGCAAGAATTTACAATGGAATAGAGACAGTCTTTTCAGTACAGTGGGGCCTTGACTTACCAGTGTCCCGACTAATGAGTTTTTCGAGATACGAGCCGTCTCTCGGCCGATTTTTTGCTTTGAGTTGCGAGCTAAAATTCAGATTACGAGCCAGCTTCAGATACCCCACCGCTAGTTGGCACAGCAAACGTCATACTGAACGCCACAACATCAGCCCAGCATCACATGTCTCATTCGTTCACTTTTTGATTTGACATACGAGTAATTTGAGTTATGAACTCTGTCACGGAACGAATTAAACTCGTAAGTCAAGGCCCCGCTGTAATCATTTGGGGTAAGCTGGATAGACGTATCCCCAAAGTGAAACTAGACCTCTCTCTTATACCATATGCAAGAATAAAGTCAAAATGAGTTAAAGACTTAAATGAAGGCCCCAAACCATAAAATTCCTAGGAGAACGCATACGCAGTAAACTCTTTGAGATTGCTCATAATAATTTTGGGGAGGGATTTATATCTCCTTGGACAAGAAAAATAAACAAATGGGACTACATCCAGCTAAAAAGTTTTGCACAGCAAAGGAAACTATCAAGAAAATGAAAAGACAACCTGTTGAATGGGAGAAGATATTCACCAATGATACAGTTGATAAGGGATTAATATCCAAAAAAAAAAAAAAAGGAACACCTATAACTTAACTCCAAATAGACAAACAACCAATTTTAATAATGGGCAGAGAACCTTAGTAGACAATTCTTCAAAAAGGACATGCAAATGGCCAATAGACATAGGAAAAGATGCTCGCCATCACTAAACATCAGAGAAATGCATTTTAAAACCACAATGAGCTATTGCCTCGCATCTATAAGAATGACTATCACCAATGAATCAACAAAAAGCAAATCTTGGTGAGGATGTGAAGAGAAGGGAACCTTTGTGTGCTGTTGGTGGAATTGCGAATTGCTGCAATCACTATGGAAAACAGTATGGAAATTCCTAAAAAAAAAAAAAAAAATTAAAAATAAAACTACCTTATGGCCTAGAAATTCCACTTCTGGGTATTTATTCAAAGAAATCCAAAATACTAACTCAAAAAGACATGTGCATCTCTGTAATATGTCTTTAATATGTCTCATGTCTTTTTTGTTCCTTTATTTTTTTCTCTTTTTGAAGTAAGTAGTTCTTATAATGATTTATTATATATTTTTTGTTATTAGTCATTGGTCTCAGGATTCCCTTATACATCTTAACTGAACAGATTCTACTTCAGGTTTATACTTATTGAATTCCAGTGAAATTAAAAATCATATTTCTGTATAGCTCTATTTTCTTTTTTTCCTTTTTTTGTGCTATTACTATGCACGCACATGTATATATGTTACAAACCTAACAATATGTTGATGTAATTATTAGTGTGAGTAATTTTATATCTTTTAAAGAAGAAAAGAAAGGAAAGCAAATACATATGTATAGAGTTTATTTTATTAGCCTTCTTTTTTACCATTTCTAATTCTCTTTATTTGTTCTTGTGAATTTGAGTTACAATGTGGTGTCATTTCTTTCTCCAATACAGATTTGCTCCCACCAACCTCCTTTGCGCTGTTATATATATTATATTTCTATATGTTAGAACCCAACAATATGTAATCCGCAAGATTGTTTTGTACAATTCCTTTTTAAATTGGGTAGAAGAAGAAATTCACATTTATGCTTTCTTATATTCCATAATTTCATTTTCTGGTGCTCTGTCTTTTGTTTGGAGTCATGTCACACCTGGGGGCACTTGCTTTCAGCCTGAAGAACTTTCTTTAGTAGTTTTTGTGATGTTGGTGTGCTACCAGTTATTCCTCTCAGTTTTGTTTATTTGGATATGTATTTATTGCCCCTTCATTTTTGAAAATTAGTTTTACTGGATATCACTTTTTGGTTGGCAGGTATTTGGGTATTTTTCTGTTAGCACTTTGATTATATAACCCCACTGCTTTCTGACCTTTATTTCCAAAGAATCAGTTTCTGATATTATTGGGTTTTTCTTATATATGATGAGTTCTTTTTCTCTTACTGCTTTCAAGTTTTGTCTATGTCTTAAACATTTTGCTATGCTGTGACCTCTAGTTCTTGCTGTGGAGGAGCTCATAGGCCAGCGGTAGGCAACCTTTTTGTGAGTGGGTGCCAAAATCTCTGACTCAAAATTCTTCTGCGTGCCAACCCTAATTTTTTGAGAACATGTTACGCCTACTTGATATCTCTTAAGGTGTACGTATGTGAAGAACTTTGAAGAAATAATAAAATTCATTTGAGCGACACAAACACAGTATGTGATGATGAAAAATACATTTATTTTTTAATGTATACATGTACACTGATAGTCCGACAGAAAACTTTATGACTCCATTTGATATTATCAGTGGGACTTTTAGTGCTCTTCCTCTCTCGTCAATCCATGTCTGTGGTCTTTAAGATAACTTTTTATGTAAAATTATTTATTTATCTAAGATGCACCTACACTGAATTTATCTGAAAAATAAAAAACTCGATACTAAGAAAAAAATTGTAAATGGAAGATTATAAGTTACTGGCGTGCCATGTTTGGCACACGTGCCAGGGGTTGCCCACCCCCGTCATAGGCCATCTAGAGGCAAATATATAAACAAATGTGTATACTTTAATGTAATATGTAATTTTATTTTACTTTTTAATTTATCTTTATTGTTGATAGTATTACAGATGTCCTCCTTTTGTTCCCCATTAACCTCCTCCACCCTGTACTGCCACCCTCCCCCCACCTCCAGGCCTTCACCACACTATTGTCTGTGTCCATGGATTATGTATATATGCATATAAGTACTTTGGTGATATGTATTTTTAAAGCTACAAAATGCTAGTGGTAATACGATAGATATGAGAAAATATAGACTATAGTGTTTGAATATAAATTAACGTACAACTATGATTTCAGTTTCATTTAGAATATTCAATTCTAGAATTGAAGTAGAATGTTGTGGTTATTGTACATCTTCCTCTTCTACTAGTATATAAGTGACTTGAAGACCTGTCCTGTGTATTATTTTTTTTCTATTTCCTAGCACTACTAAACATACATAGAATACACTCAATAAATGCTTGTTAAATTGAATTAATTTCTAGGAGCTGCTCTTTTTTAAAAATTCAATCTCACAGTTTATAATTTAATATACTACATCTGCATATCCAGACTGCTGGTTTTTGTCCTAATTTAAGATGCAATTGTAGAGAAATTGATAAACGTAACATTTTAAATCTAAATTATTTTACTCTTTCTCACTTTGGAAACTGTAGGCTTATTCTATGGGTAGTGCCTTCACACAACATATTTATAGAATTGGCCTTTTGTTCCTGACACACTGTTTTAAATACACACACTTGTTTTATCTGAATTCAGGAACCTACTAAATGTCATCTCAAACGAAGTTGAGTGGGTCAAAAGTTATGCAGACCTTTTGAGGTCAAAAACAACAAGGGATCTTGTGAGGTGCAAAAGCTCCTGGTAACGGCAATTACAAAAGAGAAATTCCAACTATATAGTGAACTATTTTAGCATTTCTGGGCTTGCTTTATGGCCTCCCAGGATAACCATTTTGAAGGTCAAACCTTAAGTACAGTACATTCATTAAAATACCAGACTCCTCATAGTCGCAGTTTGTAACCCTGGTTTATTAAAAAGAGTTGGTTTTATTGGACTGAAATTTAAGCATTTTATGTTGTTTCCTGACAAATAATCAGTCTAATACTATCCTGAATTGGTATTAAACTTTTACTAGTGACCTCTTTATGATAACTTCTTTTTAATTAGAAATATAATTATTATTTCCTCATTCTTTCTTTAAAAGATGTAATTAGAGCTCACTTGATTTTTTTTCATTTTTATTGGATATTTTTCAGCCTGAAAAACTGTGTGCATTCATGCTCATGATTCTTTCATTATTATATTCATTGTTGTTATCAGGTAAGACCAAAAATCACCCTCATTACCTGATTATCTGATCTTTTACCTAAAGGAGCCTAATCTAGAGCTAAGACCAAGGACATGTCAGATGGAGCAAATACTATAAAGCAGCATTTCAACTGTACTTACTCAGTTTCTGAGAAATGAAACAGGAGAAGAGCTAAAGTTTACTTTTGCTTTAGCTAGAAAGAAAAAGGATTGCCAGTTAAATTAATGCTATTGACATAAAGAGATAGATCTATTTAAGAAAACAAATGCCTTGCCCTGGGTGGGTGGCTCAGTTGGTTGGCACATCGTCCTGTACACCTAGCATGTCAAACTCACGGCCCATGGGCTGCATGCGGCCCACAATGAATATTTTTGCAGCCCAGCCAATATAACAGTATTTGAGAAACGTTTTAATAAAAATTTCGTAACCTAATTTTTACAATATCCTGTTATACATAATTATTAATAACGAACTACAGCATAGTTCGACTTGTGATGACTGATTACTATAATTGTGTTGCATCCATTTCCCTTTTGCCTACGCGCAGGTGCACCATTTCTGTCCACTAATACTAGCAGCGAACATTTTAGCAGCCGATTGCCACGTTATTAGTCTAGTACTGACTTGTTTGGTGTGCGCAATAGGAAATATTTCTCTTTCAGAAAACAAGAAAAATAATGTTTATTTGCGTTGCACTTATTAATTTGTGCAGTTACTCAGTGTCTAGTAAGTGAATGTTCAAGGAAAATATTAATTTTTTTAAAATGTTCTATTATTTTATGTTAATGATTATTCATTTATTTCAGCCCTCAAATACTCATTTGTATTCAGCATGTGTCTATCAAAATAAACGTATGTTTCTATGAAAGTTGAAGCTTTTGTTTTTTGCGGCCCACGTAAACTTAAGCCTTGTTTATTTGGCCCATGTTAGCCTTTGAGTTTGACATGCCTGCTGTATAAGAAATGTTGTGGTTCCATTCTCAGTCAGGGCATGTAATGGAGGCAACCCATAGGTCTCTCTCTCCCTCTCCCCCACCTCTCCCTGTCTCCCTCTTTCTCTCTCCCGTCCCCTTCCTCTCTCTCTAAAAATCAGTAAAAAACATATCCTCAGGTGAGGATTAAAAAAAAGGAAACGCCTTTTTAAAACCTTGGAGTTCATTTGGAAGAACTATTCATACACTTTCAATTTTTATTCTGATTTCAATGTATTTTATTTTACAAGTTTATAAAACCAGCTTTTACAGGGACTAGGTACCATTTTTCTGTTTCTCTTTAATTGGTGTTTTATTTATAAATAATAAAACAATTGAATTACTCCAGATTTTACTTATTAAGTCTGATAAAATTCACTTGTAAGTAATTAGTACAGAGTACATATTTTCAAAAGGATTCAAGCAGGTTTATGAAGCACAGATTTCAAAGGGTAAAATAGAGATTCGGGGGTACTAGCCTAAATTTGTAAGTTTGATGGATAAGAAAGCCATCTGAGCTACTGTCACGTGCATGACCTGAAACAAATAACCATTGTACCTTCTCATATTTTTATACAACATTAGAGGCCCAGTGCATGAATTCATGCACCAGTGGGGTCCCTCAGCCTGGCCTGTGGGATCAGGCTGAAACCAATCTCTGATATCCCCCAAGGGGTTCTGGGTTGCAAGAGGGTGCAGGCCAGGCCAAGGGACCCCACCGGTGCACGATCAGGGCTGGGGAGGGATGTAGGAGGTTGGCCAGTTGGGGAGGGACCACAGGAGGGCTTTAGGGAATGTCAGGCCTGTCTTGCTCAGTCCCAATCGGCCGGACCCTACCTTGATATTTTGTGAAAATAAGTGATTACTGTTTCAAGACATAGTTTGCTTTCTGAAGAACTTTGACTTATGTTATTAAATATGGTAATAACAACATGTGCATACTGTGTTATGTTTACCAAATATTTTTACATTTGTTATCTCAGTTGGTCCACCCTGAAAACAGTAGATATCTATAATAATAAAAGCATAATATGCTAATTAGATCGGACAGCCAAATGACCTTCCAGATGTCATTCTGGCTGAAGCTGCAGCAGCAGGGGCCAAGGCAGAGGAGGGTAGGGGCGATCAGGCAGGCAGGCAGACAAGTGGTTAGAGGCAGTCAGGGAGACAGATGAGCAGTTAGCGGCTATCAGGCAGGCAGGAAGAGTGGTTAGGGGAGACCAGTCAGGCAGGTGAGTGGTTAGGGGTGATCAGGCAGGCAGGCAGATTGGTTAGAGGTGATCAGGCAGGCAGGCAGAGGAGTCCCAGATTGTGAGAGGGTGCAGACTGGGCTGAGGGGACTTCCCCCCAACACACACATACACGAATATCATGCACCGGGCCTCTAGTCCTATATAATAAAAGCCTAATATGCTAAGTGTCCGACCTTTTGACCGGTCACTATGACGTGCACTGACCACCAGGGGGCAGACACTCCCACCAGCAGGTTAGCTTGCTGCTGGGGTCCGGCCAATCAGGACTGGGAGAGACGGGCTGGACATACCCTGGAGCCATCCCTCAGTCTCTTCCCAGCCCCAGTCATGCACCAATTGGGTCCCTTGCACTGGCCTGTGCCCTCTCACAATCTGCGACCCCTTGGAGGATATCAGAGAATCGGTTTTGGCCCAATTCCCGCAGGCCAGCCCGAGGGACCCCACTGGTGCATGGCCTCTAGTATAACTTATAATGTAGACAGGAGTTAAGACTTACTTTGTTACAATGAAGAGCATTCTTCCTCACCCCCCTTCCTTTTTCTCTTCTCCTACTACACACACACACACACACACACACACACTGGGTACAAACTGGTGAATAAACCAGGCATTATTCCTGTCCTCAAGAACAAAAGAGAAACATTAAACAATTAAATAATATATAATTATAAACTGTGGAAAATATTAAGGTCTTTCCCTCTGGATCGGCTCCATAGTCTCTTTCACTCTTTGGTGATCCTGACGTTTTTGAGTATCACTGTTACTGATTTGGTTAATGCCCATCTTTGGACACATCACTGTGGACAGAGGAATAGCTAGACACTTTGACTGCTTTGGCAATTAGACTCACTTCTAGAGGTGAGTTGTCCAAAGGAAAGTCAGCATGCAGTTACCAAAAGTAGCAGTAAAGCATGGTGGGTGGCAAACTTCAAATGTCCACTCTAGCAGGTATTATCATCTCCACCTTTCAGATGAGAACATGAATATTCAGAGGGGCTAAATGACCTCCCCAAAGTAGGTCTTCCGGTTACAAACCCTGCTCCAAGCTGCCCTAAAGGAAAAGGGAAGCAGCAATAGATAAGTAAAGAGAAATGGTTCTAGATATGACATTTATTTCTATTCTATTTTTTGAAGTGAACCAGGCATGATTGATTTTAGGGTAATAATTGAGTCTGAGTCTATGGGGAGGGTGAACAAGAAATTTGTGGGAAATAAAATGTCTCAAGGTCTGTGTAAAATAAAATGTCCCAATGTCCCAATGTTAGCAATTTAAATAGCTAACATTTATTAGCCATTCCTTATATCAGGCACTGTGCTAAGCATTATTCCTATGTCAATTGATACAACATTCCTATGAATTAAGGATTTTTACAGATAAAGAAACTTAAACAAAAAATGGTTTAATATCTTATTCATGTGGTTTAATATCTGTTTCATGTGGGACAGAGGTTCCAGCTGAGTCAGAAACATGTACACAGGAAACCAAGCAAATGAAAAGATGATGTAACTGGAAAGAGGCAGAGCTAAGATTTAAACCCAGGGAGTCCAGAACCCACTGCAGTGCCTGTTTGTTATTTTCATTGTCACCATTAGCAGCAATATTTAGGGACGTGCGATGTGCTGTCTGTCATAGCAGATACTTGGTGCAATAGCTGTTTCCTAGAAATTTACCCTATAAGGTTGTATAATTTAATTCATGCAACCACATTTAAGAATTTATAAACGCCCACTATGTTTCCACAGATCATGGTTAATGTTAACTTTTATGCTGTTTTTGTTTTGTTTTATATTTATCAGAGTTACACATGCACATAGTTTAAAAAATCAATTAGTCCTACAAAACTTATAGAAAAAGAAAGAAAGAAAAAAACAAGTCCTTGCTGTGTACTTCCTTTTACTATTTTTCAAATTCCTAGAAGCAATCACTTTTTTTCTTTTTTTTTTCCTGTTTCTTCTGGTATTTATGGAAAATAATATCTCTAAATAACATGATTGTATTTCTACTTCTTGATTTTTTCAGCTTCAGATAATCCATTACTGTGCCACTATGGGAGATGTAGATTTAGATATTTATGCCCCCTACACCATCACCACAAATACGCCATCTTTTCAGTCTGATGACTTTTAATAACCATACTATGTATCTAATTCTCTGCTTTCCCTAACAATAATAATTGTCATATTTTTCATTTGCTTGGCTTCCTGTGTACTTGTTTCTGACTCAGCTGTAACCTCTGTCCCACATGAAACAGATTTCTTTTTATTATCACCTTGGGGTTTCTTTTTGTCTCTGCTTTGAATTGGATCTTCTGTTTTTAATGTCTTTCCTTCTTCATTTACTCTCTCATTTTGATGGAGCATTTCTAACAATAGCTTTGATCTTCGCTCTGTAAAATGCCTTTATGCTTTAGACATTTGATTGATTTTGTAGCTGAGAACAGACTTTGTGGTTTGGAATTTATTTTCTCTCAAAATTTTTATGTTCTCTCTCCATTGTCTTTTGGTGTTTAAAAGTTGAAAAACAATCTAATTTTTGTTCTACATTTTTTCCCAATATTTTCTATTTTTTCAAGAGTTCTTAAACTTTATTATGATGTGCCTTGTTGGGGTTCTATTTGACTAGACACTCAGTGAGCCCTTTTAATCTGCAAATTAATTCAGGCAAATTTTCATGAATTGCTTCTTTGATTATTTCTTTCTCTCCATGTTCTCTTTTCTTTCTGTTATCTGGATGCTGAACCTCTAGATTGGTCTAATTTTCTTATCCTTTTTTTCCTATGTTCCTTTAAAAAAGAGACTTTTCTTAGTCTCTTCTTTCTGGGATATCATCCAACCTTTAGATTTCCATTTCTAATATAATTTTGTTTCTCAGAAACAGTTTCTTTGTTCCTTTTTATAAAAAAAAATATCAACTTGTTTTTGTTTCATAGATGTAGTCCTCTCATATCTTTGCGGATACTTTTTATGGAAACTTTACTAGTATTTCCCCAGATAGTTCTATTTCCTGTTTGTTTGCTTTAAGGCTTCATCTTTCATGTGAGGGGCTTTCCTCGGATGTCTGGTGGTCTTTGACTGTCAGCTCACACTTAAGGTAGTAAGAAAGGTAAATGTTTAGATAACACATAATTGGGGCTTAATAACTGTGAATTCCCTAAATCCAACTATGCTATTTATTCAGAACCCCAATATTATTTTAGTGAATATATTCCTTTTCAGTTCAGTTAAATTCACCAAAGAAGTTTTTACTCTCCTACCTAGAAGTTAAAAAATGGGCTAGTAGCATTCTGCAAACCAAATAGAAGAGAAGTGGAAGTCTCAATATTCAGCATGTAAAATGTCACTCAGTTCCCTTTTCATTTGAGCACTCTGCCCTTCAGAATTCCTCCAAATTTCCCAGTTCAGGAATTTTGCTAGGATGAAAGAGGGAGAAGTTCTTATCCACTTGTGAAGAGTAGAAAGGGAATGTAAAAGACAAATTCTTAAATAGAATGCCAAAGAGGTTTGCTCTGATTCCCACCTTTAACTAACTTTCATAAATCTGGGTCCCCCTAATTCCTAAGTTTTTTTGGAAACTAGGACAAATTAAATTGCTTCTTGGCTTTGCCTACTGCTGCTTTAGGATTCAACTTGCTTGGGATTCAGCTATAGTCAGTTAGCTATAGTTTTCTGCCTTCTAGCTCCCCAATTTTGGTTACTGTCATTCAACTCTATTCTGCTTTTCTTTCTTGGCTTATTTTTTTAATAAAATATTTAATACTCTGTTGTATTTTAGTGTGGTTTTGAAAGGGAATGAAGTTAAATGTGTATGTTCAATCTGCCACCTTTAACCAGAAGTCAACGGTGTTGATTTTATTGTCTACTATATAGTTTTTTCTTTTTTATTTTATTTTTATTGAATTTATAGTTTCATTTTTTAAGCATTTGTTAGATTTGAGATAAAGATTTTTCTTAAAAGTAAATTTTTCTCTGGAGAAAATGGGAAATTACCATATTCAGTTCTATACTCTGTCCCAGAGTAAGATTTGAGGAGATTGCTGTTCACATATTATATATTTTGCATTTAAATGGTTTTATTACCATACAGACCTGCTTCCTTCACAGCATGTGGTGATATATATTACTGGGTTGGCCTGAAAACAATAACTGAGAGCCATATATTACATAGCTCAAGCTCTTAAAATTATGACATATAATAAGACGATCAAATTTTCCAAATCAAACACTGGACAACTTAGTTGAAACATTAAGGAAAGTAAGTAGATCCACGAACGTTGGGCCAATGTACTATGTAAGTTTCATTATTTTACTTAATGCATGTTTGAGATGATTTTTCATTATCGCACTGTGTTTTATGAATAAAGATCATAAAAAGACTCAGAGAATGCTGAAACCGGTTTGGCTCAGTGGATAGAGCGTCGGCCTGCGGACGGATAGGTCCCAGGTTTGATTCCGGTCAAGGGCATGTACCTGGGATGCGGGCACATCCCCAGTAGGAGATGTGCAAGAGGCAGCTGATCGATGTTTCTCTCTCATCGATGTTTCTAACTCTCTATCTCTCTCCCTTCCTCTCTGTAAAAAATCAATAAAATATATTTAAAAAAAAAAAAGACTCAGAGAAGTCAAGGTACTTCCCCAAACTCATACAGCTAGTGGGTGACAAAGGTAGAATTTGAACCCAGAATTCACTTCAACGCTAATACTCTTTGGAGTGAGTGTGCATAAGAAAATCTGGACTTATGAGACTGAATTAAAGATCCCCAGAGCTTTGTGAAAAGTCAAAGAAAGAATACTATCAGCAATAGTAATCAGAAAATTACATCACTTATTGTTTGCACCTTTTTACACAACTATTTCATTGTATACTAACAGCCCTATGAACTGGCAATATAAATTTAAGTTTTATAGTTGTTTCTCTCAAACATGTAAAACATTGTTTGTCTATAGCTATAATTTACTTACCTCACAAAAAACCTTTTCCTGGTCATCATTGTCTGTCTCCTCCCACTTCCCCTCTTCCACATCCCCAACGCCTCCATCCCAGCCCCTGCAATACACACCCTGTCACCCCCATTTCCACAGATAAAGTAAAACTTAATCTTACCAATTGGTAGTTGCTTGGTCATTTCTGAAATAAAATTGAGTCAATTTAGGCTTTAAATTAAATTTCTTCCCTACCCCTTACTTTCTCCTTTCCTTCCACTCTTCTTCAAGTTTCTGGGAGACGCATATCATTCTGGCGTTAGTGGGTAAGTATGGGATTCCACACTCTTCCCTCTGCTTGCTGGTCTCTGCTGAGTTACTAGTTGGCCCTTGCATATTGGCACCATGTGCCAGCACCTACTGAGATGTGGTTCTTCTTGCTGAGCCTCATACTGAACATACTGCCATGGTCTTTGCCATGGTCTCCAGTTGTTAAGGACCTTGCACTCTTTGCTGCGTTTTCTTAAACCTCAGTCTCCTTTTTGTCTGCTGGATCAGTCTTCAAACTTTTGCAATCCACTCATAGGCTTCAGGAACTTTTCAGGTGCCCTGTCACAATACACACAATACACTGGTGTCGTAAAATCCAAAGATGTCTTCAAACAACCCTCCCAGCTACCTTCCTAAGACATTACCTCCGGCGCTCTATACTCAGACACCTAGATGCTCTTTCCTGGCTGTGGGGCAGAATCTATTTGCATAGGAAAACATCTACTTTATCCTCTTACATTCTTGCCTATTTATAGATTTTTATGCCATAAACTTATAATAAGAATATATAAGGCAGCTCTATATATTCTGAAATGATCAATTGACAAAACATCATGTGAAGAGAGCAAAGTAAGAACAATGTGTATAACTTGCTCCATGTCTGTAAAAACTTGTTTAGATAAGGCAATGCATTAAACATTTCTGGAAGAAGACACGAATCTGGATCAAGTTGCCTTTGGGGAGGGAAAGCAGATGTCTGGGAAACAAGGCTGGAAAAGAAATTTTTCACTGCTTTTTTATATCTTTCAAATTCTGTATTATGCAAATAATTTATTCAAAAAATAAATAAAAGATCATTGTAAAACATTTATAATTTGGCTTCTTTAATCTTGCCAGGCTCCGAATCATTTGATTCTCAGCCACAGACAGAAAGAAGCTCTCTTGGCAAAGCTATCTTTTCTCCCTCCTCTGCTTCCTGAGGTGCCGCTCTGTCTTGTGGAACGAAGGCTGCATGAAGCAGCAGCCTACTTCAGCCTCCTGACTGTTTGCCTTACAGTGGAAGGGAAAATACTTCAGTAGGAAGATGGCCTGAGTCCCAAATATAACAGATGATAGTTTAGCTATTTTGCTAACTTGCCAGACTGAGATAGAGAGAGTCCTCATTACCCTTCACTTAACCCCTTTGGCCAACCCAAGTCTATATCTTAGGGTCTGTTCCTTACAAGAATTTTTGTTATCTGTAGGCTTACCACACTGAATAGGTATTTAATAAATTATGATGACTATAAATGCATGAATCAATTTTATAAGAATACGCCACCTAGGTTCATTCTAAATATATTAACTGAGAGAGATTTATAAAGGTTGTACTTTAAATTTTCTGAGTGTCCGTTAATTATAGCTCTCTTTTTTTCCCTGATCCAAAAGCCAATTAAGGATCATATATTGTATTCAGTTGTCCTATCCATTTAATTTTCTTTCATCTAAAAAAACTTCCCAGCCTTTTAGTGTCATGACATTGACTTTTTTTTTTTTAAGTCTGGGTCAATTGTTTGTAAGATGTTCCTTGATTTAGATTTTTCTGAATTTTTAAATTATTAGATTTAGATTAAATATTCTTGGCAAGAATACTCCATTGGTGATGCTGTGCCTCCTCCAGATAATATAAAGAAGAAATTGGTAACACAGTAGATGAGCACTCTACTATGACTTGATGGAGGGTCCAGAATGAGTTTTCAATTCTCTTTGCTTTAATTTTATACTGATAGGTTATTTTTAAGTGATTTGGTAGTTAAATAGACCAGGTATCAGTAAATAGTATTTTATTCAATCCATTGAATATCACTTGGAACAGCAAAAGTGTTCTCCTGTTACATTGATCAGTTTCTTGTGAGTTTGTAACAGTTTGGGGAACCGAAAGAAGTTTCTGATTTGCGAAGTGAGGGCCAAGTGATAATAATACCCACCTCACAGCACTGAGTTGAGAATTACTTGAGATGTGAACTCAAGTAATGAAGTGAAATATCACTTACAGTAATATACTCTGTGAAAGGTCTCTATTAATGTCACCAACCCTACCCAGGTATTTATTTTTTAAACCACATATATATCGTATACTATTGTATATGGCAGTGTTCTAAATATTTTATGAATATTAATCTTTGTAGCAAAGATTGGATACTATTATTATCATCCCCATTTGTAGATGAGGAAACTGAAGTACAGAGAAGATAAATAATTTTTCCAAGGTTACATAACTGTTTACCTGTGAGACCCCGTTTAAAAGCAGGCAGCCTGTACAGCCCCAGTGTGTGCTTAAAGATAGACTTCATCCCACCTCTCCTTTCAATTAATGCGTGTGTCTGTGTCACTTCTGTTTCAGAGAGAAGAGGTACTCCCGTGTAGGG